GACCTGCTGTTCAACAGTATTAATATAGACCGAAAGTAATCTAATGCTCCCATCCTGTTTGGAATTTCTTTGTTTTTCTTTTATATTTCACGTCCCTATTGTTATATCCTCATCGTCTGCCCTAATCATATGGGGGAAAGGTGCACAGAAACAAACAGACAATTCAAATGATAATGTACAATAGATGATATGTTATTTGATGCTGCTGTTTTCATCATGTGTGTTGGCACACACTGGGTAACTGGGTTGATACATTATTAGGTTGGGGGGGGGGGGGGGGGGGNCCCATCGTCTGCCCCAATCATATGGGGGAAAGGTGCACAGAAACAAACAGACAATTCGAATGATAATGTTCAATAGATAATATGTTATTTGATGCTGCTGTTTTCATTGTTGAACCTTGTTAGCCAAAATGTTAAGTTTCCAAAATTATGATATCCAGAAAAGTTATAATTATCTCATAATTTGTTGATTCGCTAAAAATATTTTTCTCATTCAAATGAAGTATTAATTGAGCTTGTGATTTCAATCTACGGTTTGCGGTAACCTGGTTTTTTGTAACGCCGATATAGCAGCTGGGTTTTTTTGTGCAATAAACGATGAAGTTAATTGGTTGTCTTTAAACACCAATATTAATGTTTTATGTTTACAGAACTTCACACCAGTAGAAATGATGTCTTCTATGTTATTCTTGGGTCTATGGTAAGCAGGTTTATTAGAATTCATTTCAATGAGATTGAAGTTTGAATATAACTGCTTTTTAGCGTAATTTAACAACTGTATTTCAGCTTTAGTTTATACTTTAATTTATGTATTTATTGTATTACAAAAGCGTTATTCATGGTTTTCGCGTCAATTATGCATTGGTTATTATTTCGTATTACAGGCAGATGTAACGTATGAAGACGAATTCATGGCTGGTGTCTGTGGGTATGTTTTAGCAACAAATCATTCACCAGCTTCATGTATGTTTTTTTTCTATTCAGTTTCTTCTTCAAAGCGTTCTTATGTAACTGAACTGTTTCACACACTCGATCTCCCTTTTTGCTTTGTCGAGTGTCGGCGCTTCGCATAGCAAACACGGGCTTCGTTTCTTTACAAAAAACACCACAATGTTTATATTTGGCATGGTAAGGAGAGACAGACGTTAATGTAATTTTCAGTCCGGAGCCCAAAACCTTGTTTTTTGACACATTAACCATGCCGTTTAATATGCTGTAAGTTTGTTAAGTATACTTTCTCCCATATTGTAAAAGACTCGGATACATTCATAATTAATGTAAGTACGATCATCACATGATATATTGTATGCACACGTCAACAGCAGTGAAAATGAAGCATAAGCAATTTGCCTTACCTAGACATCAGCTCCTGAAGAGACGTAGCGCCATTCTCATAAAACAACCTTGGTGCTCTGTTTGTTCCAACAATTAGTGTTTCTGTTACTTGTAAGATTAATAAGAGCTCTTCAACATTCCAACGTATAAATCCTATCATCTCTGGGTTTTGATGTCACAGAGTAACCGGTGTTGTATATCTACCCGGCCTGGGGATAGACGATACCCACGCGGCCATTAAAGGAAGCTTCGCTCTTGTCAACTCGTCCCGGAGTGAGGGTATGGCGGTGGCTATCTTAGAGGTAGGTCACCGGTTTTACCTGCACGTTGGAGTGTGGACTGATTGTTCTGTTCACTTTATCTTGTGTTTTTTTAAGAATCTTACGTAACGTACCTTTTATCTGTACGGGAAGGAGTAAACGGAACTGACTGTCCCTATATTTAGGAACTCCGGTCACGATATCTATTGATGACGTATAATACTGATATATTTGATATCGCAGAAGTGAGAGATTACTGCATGAAAACGGCACTTTTAACATTTACAAAAAAAAAATGTTATACTAATATCTTTACCTACTGTCTAAAAATAAGGGCCATTTTGCAATTATGAATGTGTCAGACACAGTTGCATGTTATGCCAAAGGTTCTTCAGGATATTAATTGGAAGCTATATTTTCCGGCAAGACTATAGCTTTGATAAATCATTTACAAAAAAAATAGTACTTGATTAAAAAATAATAATGGTGAAATAATAAGAAATAGTATTCTGAATATAAAAATTCAGTGGAAGCTACACCGGCATTCGAACCCTAGACCTCATATTGTTGTACCGCTCTAACGGACTGAGCTACTTCATCAACAGAAGTGTCCTGATCCAACTGTGCTACAATTGTATCCAAATCGAAATGAAAGGGAGGGTGCTGTATTTTCACAAAAAAACTTGTGCAGCTGGACAGAGATCCTTAAATTCAAGAAACTATCAATTATTCGTTCGGCAAATTCGTTCAATAGCGTTTTTGCATTACAATTGACGTCATTTAGGGCGTCGCCACGAATTTGTACGGTAGTTTTATTGTCTAGAAGATAACTCTGCAATACGCAAAGACGGAATAAGGGAGAAACGGAACAGAAAATCTAAGACGTTAAAAAAAAAAACATATGAACACTCCTGTTCGTTACCTTTCCCCCTAAACCTCTTGCAATGCTGTTTCATGTCTGTAGTTTGGGGAGTATTCATATAAAAGTGGTTGATTTTGAATATGGAGTGTTTAAATTGGAAGTAAATTAAGCATTGAACTGCTTCTTGTTGGATTTGCCTTCGTCTAGTTGGCATTCCCATCGCCTATGAATGCCAACTAAAAGCAGTTCAATACTTATATTTACCATTTTTAGGATCCGTTTATCTCATAGAAATTTCAATTACACTTACTATTCAACTTTTAGTTCAAATAATGTATTTATCGTATATGTTTGTTCAATGAATAGAACAGCCATCTGCATATGGAGGGTCAGTGGTATACATTATGATAATAATGATGACGTAAACAATCGGATGATGCCATTCATTACCGATATGGATGCTATCTGAATGTGGTAGGGTTATAAAGTGGCAATGCCATACGATAGTAAATATATTTTGTTTGTAAGATATCGAAATGTTGTGTCTGGTGTATTTGTGTATGCTAATTGGTTTTCTGTTTGCGTTGTATTTAAGGCTATGGATTTAGGTGTCCCTGTTCTGGTGCGTGATATCCCCGGGAACCGCTGTATAGTGACTGACGGTACTAATGGCCTTGTGTACGGTTCACCAGAGGTACGTGTGATAAGCGATACTTGAAGAAAACACGTCTCAAGTTAATCTAATAGATAATTCTTGTAAAGCATGCACCTCTTGTGCAATTGACACTAATAGGACCATTTTCTCTTTCTTAATGCAGCGCTTTCAGGAGATTTCGGAAGATATCACAATGTGAACTCCAGCGAGATTTCACGAAATAACATAAACTTCGTACACGAGATCTTTTTGTTTGTTACGTAAGTCACGTGTGTCAAATCGCTAGATGGCTTTTCCGTTGAATTTAATCAAAAATTAAAATTTCCCCACTCTCGACAGTAGATTTCTGATATTGCACTAACGTTTAGTTATACTTATTGACCTATTCGTGAGGACTTCTGTATTACCAGCCGTAGTACCTTTTCTCTACGCTAGGCTGCGCTCTTTGATACTAATTTGGTAAATTTGAGCACCTGTCTCAGTACGTTTTCTCTCCGTTAGACTGCACTTTTGATCGATGTACTACGATATTGAATTTTTGAAGCGAAGCCTTTCGGAGAATAGAAAAACTACGCCATGAAAACCAGTCAAACTGTTTTCGAATCGAAACCTGGCGGCGTAAAGAGAAAGTACGGCAGGCAATCCAGACTGGACTTTATTTCGCGTTTTGCTCAAAGTTTATAACTTATGGAAATATTAGGAACAATAATATATATTTATGTTTGGATTTCTACGTTTTTTGATGGGTATCGCAGCTGTAGGTAAAGTTAAATTGTTTGACAGCGCTGTGTTTTCCTTTCATTACCAGGAATTCGTCCAGAAATGCGAGATCCTACTGGATGACGCTTCAGTTCGATCCAAGTTGGTGTCAAATGCCAATGAATATGTTTCCAAACATCACAGCGTGGCTGATGAGAGAATACGATACACACAAGTTGTATGCATGGCGTTGGATTCATCTTTGACCAGAACCTGAACCGCTGTATGAAGATATCAATTTTACATGTAATGTGCCTTAATATGGAATCTGCTATGGAATTTCGGGTTTTGTTTCCTCCCCTGTTTAACCATAAGGATGGATATAAAAGGTAAACATGTATTATTGCCAAATGGGTATTTCTCGTCAACCGGTTAATATGTATTTCTTCTAAATTAATAGGAATGCATTTTTTTCGTTAATTGTTAAATGTTTTTCTCATTAATGGTAAAATAGGCAATTATGGCAATGGTTTAATCGCTGTCTCTTGTTTAATTATTTTTGGCTGGTTAATGGTTATTTAGGTTGTTCTTGGTTAATGGTTTAATAAGAATTCTGGTTAAATGTAATAGGTTTATGGTTGAATAGATAGTTTCTCTTCATTATCAAAGGTGTTTCTGGTTCAGGCCATATTACAGTATATCAATTGATTTTCCGTGTTACTTGAGAAATGTATGCCATGGGCTTTTCAATGGTCCCTCCTGTTTATGTTTTTAATTTTTGTTTTGAATGTATAACTTTATGGTGGTAGAAGCGTGTTGAAACAGGTGTTAGAAGGTTGGAATATGTTTTTTGTTGTTAATCAAACAATCTGTGATATATATACAATTTGTCAAATAATTGATCTTGGCATGCCTCATTGATATTTTAAGTACATAGAAAGAAAGAGAGAGAAAGAGTGACAACATTAATGCGTCACTGATATATAATTTGAACCATTTGAAATGTTGCTCAATGTGGTGTTGATTTAAAGATACTTTATTGGTAAAAGATGTTGAATCTGTGCGAAGTGTTTGTATCAGATATATATTTTAGAGTTGAATGGCAGATTTAGTGTTTTTTATGCGTCTGGAAAACTTGACCCTCCAATCAAATCCTGCTACCTTTCTTTTAAAAATGATGTATTTTTCAATTTGTTGACCCGGTAACATTTTCACAGAATATTGTTTTGAGAGTGTATTACATACAATATATATGGCGAGTTCGGACCATTTATTTAAAATCATAATCGGGTATAGACAAATTATAAAGGATGTGTATTCTCTGTTTACACTTGTCACAAACATTGACGTACTGACAACAGATGTCATTGGTCACCACACGTTTCACCATTGCACCGTTAGAGATTTTTTAAATATGTGTATGTAGTAGCTATAACTTATTTGACCTCTTGACGTTTTCTTGATTTTACTGTAAACTATCAATTTCAGGGGGTACTTATTTTCTCAGTTGTTCTCTCTACAACAGTACTGCAAGGATTTAACTTCACGAAGGAACAAGAGCAATGCTATATGTTCGAAGATTATTTTTCGTCTGAAAAAATCACGAAATAGATACATTTGGGAAACACTGCTGACAAACGAGCTCGAAAAAAAACATCTCACTAAGTAGATATGATAAACAGAATAAAATCTGTCCGTGGATTATGAGACGATTTATAACTATACATGTATATGTTCTTTTAAGGAATACGGTAAATGAATGGTTCAGATTAGGACTGCGTGCTGGATCATCTCTGACGATAGATCCCAGCTTTAAAAGGGACATACACGGCTGTTCGTGTTTGCGGACTGACTTGTTCGTGTGTATTTAAATGTTCTACTTCAGGATAAAATTTGACGGACCTACAAATGTTAGCGAAGACCTTGCAATTCTTTACCAATTCTTGCCAAGAGGCAATATCAGCCCACTAGGTCTATTTAATTAACGAACTCTTAGCCCAACGGATTGTAACACAATAAACGATAACGGGCATGGTGTTGCATGTCTGTCCACTCTGATGTTAACACTGTCTCTCAGTGTTGGTTTGTTTGTATGAGTGGTTTTACGTCCGCTTCACTACCGAGTAGTTCGGTTTTCCCGCAGACGATCCTAACTCTGTCAGAATGAAATCCTAATTAAATATGGGCCATTTTTTGGCTCGTGTGTTGTTGTGATCTCAGATTTTTATGGTTGGTTATTCTTCACTGCTGATAAATGAAATGGGTACATGGAGATTTTTTGTCACGGTTGTTATTGAACACTTTACCGGTGTATGGTGTGTATTTTAGACATTCACGATGTTGATCTTTTTTTGATATAATTACAGATAATGATACGTTTGATGAAATACCAAAATGTCATCAAATCAAAAACAAAGAAGCACGCCTGTTGTTCAAATATATATTGATATAGAAATGCCAAAGATATTACGAATATTTTAGCATGAATTTAACTGTTATTTTTTTTAAAAAAATGCAATGTTGTCGACTTGAAGATTTAAAGACTCGAAGGCTGTAATTCTATATGCTCAAAGTGTAATTGAAATTAAATCAATGATTTTTTGTTATTTCATAATTAATGAAAATTAAAGCCATTTGTTTTTTAAAATGAAAATCGATTTCGTGTTGTCTCAAGAGAGTGTTAATGAGTAAAGATGATGAAAAATGACATGGTTGTATTATTGTTAATTTCTTTCTTTCAATTGAAATATAGTAGATATGAAGTCTGGTTCTTTTTAGCTCACTTGGTCCGAAAGACCAGTGAGCGTATGTCAAGCATCACATTACAATTATGCTACAGCTTATTACGTAAAAACTGGCTACCTAAATTAGTATCCAAAAGATGAAGCGTCGAGATTTTTGGTCCAATCAAATGTTCTATTGTCCGAAGGCGACCACTGGTAGCAATGAAACACCCAGAGTGCAATTATTTCAGACACAAACATAAAATACATGTTTAATGCCTGATTTTGTGAAATTTATTTCACAACCTCGGGTTTGTCTTTCTCGAAATTCGTGTTAAATGATAACGAAGTACGCACTTTTTCTAACTGACCCAGGAATCCGGTCGGAACGTTCTGGAAACAATTTTAGTCCTCTTAACATAATGGAATAATTTGCAAATTTCCACAATGAAAACAGTTCCTGCAGATGGTCTACTTTACTGATATATAATTATCACCAGAAATACGAAGAAAGTCACCATTTTTCAAAAGTAGATCTGTCGATGGCGAAAGCGAAACAAAGAAAATAATTTAACTGCACCTTCTGGCCATTTCGTCAGATCAAAAGAACGACAATCTATATTTAACGTCTTACGAACCATGTTTGTAGCAATGCAGCCAAACGGAAAATGTACCTTTAAAAACATCCTACAACTTTTGGCTACAGCAGAAAATAATTTCTCAAACAAATATTTAGTGTATGCCGTACCAGAATGAATTCAAGCCGCAAGGTTTCGTCCAACCTTGGGGGACTTATGGTCTACGAGCAGAGTCAACCATCTTTGACGTAAAGTAAGCACTAGGAATACGACGAAGGAGTCACCTGTTCAAGTATTGAGTATGTCAATGCAGAAAGTTATAGGAAATTTCAATTCCATTTATTACCAAATGCACATTGCATATAGGCGTACAGAAATATACCTATTGATAAATGCTTCACAAATCTCTTGTACAATGGCGGAGAACATATGCAATATGACAGATTCAATTCCATACATAATAATTACAAATTCATGAAATAGTTACAAGTTGGAGGAAACTTAAAGCTTTTCCTAAGGTAACCTAGCGGAAACTTATGAAGCATAATTTAGTTGTTCATGAAATAATATAAATAAGCCTTTAGCTAATCAAATTTCTAGAAAATAACAAAACTTCAAAGTCAATCATACAACCTCAACATGAAGGTAGAACGATTACTATAATTTTATATTACATAATGAAATGAGATTATACACTCATTGTGAAGTAAAAGACATATATCTCAATCACATTATACAGTAACAAAACGGTAATAGCAAGACTTTGATACAGCTTATATATCACAATATACGACTTCTGTTAAGAGTTGATTGAATCAAGTACTTACTTGAATTTGTAATAAGTTTATTTTTTTTGCTATACAGTAGCTCTATTAATTTAAACACAGAAGGACGAAAATACGATAATATGGCTTGATATAAGATACTCTTAGTTCTAAGAATACAGGACAAACAAGAATGAAATGAAAGTTAACATTTTTCTGATTAGGACTGATCGGTGGTGCTAAAGGGCAACATAATGAAAATTCATGTCTAAAGTACGCTCTAGTGTTGCCTATTATCTGGCGTAGTCTTCCAAAGAATCCATAAGTATGTTGAAATATACACAAGACGCAGCAGAAAGTCAAAACACGTTAACAGTTTTTACAGTACCATGTGGCCTTTTCGTATATTACCTCATTCACCCCTGAAATTACGCAATGAACTAAACCAACCTTTGAATTGGAAGAGTTCAAATTTGTCTACAGGAGTTAAGAACTCGTTGGTGGTACTGATGATCAAAACAATGGCATCCCATATATAATGTCTTCCGAAACATAAATGTAATGTTTCAAACTTCATTCGAACTGATTGATTTTAGACACTAAACTCATACACCCACGAAATTATATAATGAACTATTCCAACCTTTGAATTGAAAGAGTTCAAATGTGTCTGCAGTGGTGTATGAGTGAAGCACTCGTTATTGGTACAAACGATCAAAGGAATGACTTTCCATATATATTTATAAATGTAATGTAAGGGTAAAAGTGACTAAAATACCCTTTATATCATTACTTTACAACTTCTTATATAACGTATAACTTATTTTTAAACTAATAATTGGCGTCTTCAAAACGCTTATATTCCTGGCAATCACAGTGATCCGGACGGAGTAAGTATGACGTGATCTAATCTCCGGAACTGACATTAGTTCGCCAAAGTCTTTGATATATTGCCCGGTTGGAGTGAAATGGATACAAAAACTGAAAGGGTCAGAATTATTTCATATAACACCAGAAATACATACCATCTTGTCATATATACTGATGACCTACAAACTCCCAGGTAATAAATAGCTTAAACTTTTACACGAAATATGCACACAATTATTCTATGTGTTTAACACACATCGACAGTGTGTGGTGTGGTGGTGTTTCTCTGACTCATCACAAGACTCCAGCCCAAATTGATTCTTTCTATTTCTGGGACACTGTAAACAGAAAGCAAAAGCTATTATCGGCGTGTAATGGACGTGCGTGCATGCCACTTATCGGCACGTTTGTTTTGGTTGAGATATCTTCCATGTTTACAGGTGTTTTTCCGCGCCCATTTTTCTGTCTTACAGATCGGCTGATTTACTGTTGTTGGGAGTAACCAGATCAATGGTTGTGACATCATAAACTTGGTGCAGGTAATTCTAAGCTATACTTTTAAATTACTGCACGTGTGAGAAGGTCAATTACGAGGTCACTATACATCGTGCTCTTCGTGAGGCTCCGGTGGGAGTTATTTTATTTAAACTTTTAAATCTATTAATAAATATGTTCGCTGGGGCAACGTAAGCATACATGTAAGAGTTGTAGAGATTATACTTGGAAATAATTACCAATTCAACCACTTTTCTGAGAAAACGGTTATACAAGTCTGTGATTTAACATAACTGAAACCCATGTGAATCCTCTCCAAAGAAAAGACAATAATTCCAGATGTGATCTGTGTATTAGGAGGCGCTTATGAATATATGTGTATTGTTTTCAGTAGCTTGCACCAACCCTCGAAAATGCCTTTTTAGCAGACGAAACCTACTTACATTACAAAAACCGGAAGTATGCCTAGAAAAGCGGATGTATTCGACGTACCGGATGTGTAAAATGTCTGGATAAAGTGACCAATGTGTAATGAATTAAACAAAATCATCTTTGTCTTGGTTACTATTTCAAAAACGGTATTCGTTGAAGCCGTTAATTATCAATTTTTTTTCAGAGTAACAGCCGACAAAATCCAAGTGGTACCCTATCGAAATGAAATCGCTTCACTTAGGGAACAACTGAAAGCGCATCCCCAGGAATTCCTGGGTGCAGCTTACAGTTAAGGTGAAATGCCTCCGATGTATATCAACAACAAAAAATCGACTCCTTTTGTGTACATTCAAAAACTTTTTGTTGTGTTTTTACAAGCAATAAAATGGATATTGCTCCCTAATCATTACTGAAGCAATGTTCACATTTCCACTCTCGGTTTTCTTACTGACCGAAGCCGTCCTATGACCATGAACGGTGGTCCGCGACTATATCTGTAGAATTGTTTCCACATAGTTTGAACATAAGGAACTCAAAATCTCTCCAATGCTACGGTGGTTGATTGAGGACATCAGTGCTGATACAGTTAGGTTTTTTTTCCATTAACGGCTATTAATTTAATTTATTACATATATTTTTTCTGAAGACACATTTTGATCCAAAGCTTGGATGTTTAAGTCACAGGTGCTCGGGTTCTGGAATAAATGTGATATATTTAGGTATCGAACATCACTGTGATTATAAATACTTGGGTTCTAGAATTTATGTAACATTATCTGTTTACGTAAAGTATAACGGGGTGCGATACGTAAACAGATCATGTAACATATATTCTAGAACCCAACTATTTATTATCACAGTGATGTTCGATACCTGAATATATCACATATATTCCAGAACCCGAGCACATGTGGTGTAAGCGCGTTGACGTGTGCGTGCATGAAGCATCATATTAAATCTATCTTGGGGTAGATCGGTTGCAGATTGTTGAAGAGATATCATCTTGAGATATATTATGTGTCATAGCCTTGGTTACATAACCTCCCATATATACCATACGTTATCTACCAGGTATAGCAATCAGCTGATACGTCCCATCAAACAACGCCGGTACCAAACCGGTGTGGCATTTTCATTTGTGATCGTTTTCAGTGGTAACTATGTAAATTTATTGCGCAAGCACAAACTCCTAAAATTGACACAGCTTAACACATGGACTGGCCTCAATTGATTAATTAAAACCATAAACCTTGTCATGTAAATAACGATAGAAATACCATAGGTTTGGTTAGGTTGGTTTGGTTTAGTATTGTTTAACGTCCTATCAACAGCTATGGTCATTCAAGGACGGCCTCTCCTGTGTGCAAGATGCATGCGTGTAGTGTACGCGTGTGTGTTTTTGGAGGCTGCGATATGTTCGTATTGTCTCCTTTATACGACTGATATAAATATGATTGATAGTTATATAGTCAATAGAAGTTATAAAACTGGAATATCGTAATTTTGAGCCAGATTTTAATCATCAAAAGGAGATGGGTTTTATAGACTTGATAAAACTTTTTCAACAAAAACTGTAAACCAATTCATCCCACGCACGTTCTGGGCAATTGCATGTACAATAAGCCCCACCAACGCGAGAAAACAAGGATGAGTTTTGGGTCCCATTAACACGTGCAGTGAACATATTCGAGGGTTAAACACGTGTTTACATAACGGTCAAGAGATTTAAGACAAAAGTCTGTAAATAAAATTTGTAAACCAACCAAACAATTTATATTTTGATTTAAAATATCTTTCAACAAATGGACTTACACTTTACATATGTTGTTAGAT